CTAAAACGTGAAACCAGAATCCATATTCAATCCTAAATCATAGGATCCTGGTATGACAAAGGGACAGAACTCTGCACAGTATTTCTACAATTTCAATGACTGAACCATCCATTCTAACATGTAGCAAAACAAGTTCTCCATGTGAAAATACACTTTAAGTGCCAGGATTCTCAACAGAATCAAGCTCCTTGTTCAACATGTATTAACATCTCTTTTGTTGACCATCAACTGCTGAAACAATGCACTTGATGCAGTGATTGCTACATTTGCTTGATTTGTTTCAGCTGCACGTAACACTGGTGAAATGTGGCATTGTATAAGTTGCCAAGAGAGACCTATAAACACATTCACAGACATGATTCATGTGTATATATGTGTATCTATCAGCTGTCAGGGGCCTCAGTAAGTGGAAGTATAACAATATTAGTTTAATGAAAGGACTTTAAAAACTTTTAAAAAGGAAACTAGCTGACAATGGTAGTCACCATGAGCCCAACTACACTGACAACACCACATTCTCAAAGTTACAAATTCAAAGAAAGAATCAGGAAACTAGCTGATAATGGAAGTCACCATAAGCTTGACAACATTAAAGACAAAATAACATTAGGCAAGCTCACACAAAAATCTAAATATGAAGCTTGATAAATCAGAAAGTTAACTCCTTCAACACATGTCAGAAGCAACAAACATAATGCTCAGAAACCATGAAAAACATGCACACCCGCTTCAACTAAACACATTCATTAGAAAAACAAGCACCTAATTTGAAGTACTGTCAAGCTTCAGCATGCAAACTGCAGATGAAGAAAACCAATTAACTACCCAGCTATCACTGCTACACAAATACCCATTGAATGATGTACAGCCTGCAACAGTATTACGTTCCCTAATTCTGTGAAGACAAACACTAAGCTATCTAATGTAGAACAAGATGTTACACAAAGCTGGGATAATGAATCGGAATACCACAAATGTCATGAGAGGAATTACAATAATCTGAAGACAGGAGCATGCAGAGTAGCGGCCAGGCATCCAGCCAGGAGAACTTTACGGCTGACATTTCTAGGTGGAAGAGGTGCTACCATTTCCCAAACATCCATATTGATTATTCTTCCATCAATTGCCATACTCACTCTTCAAACTTATTCATTACAAGAGAGAGAGAGTATAGTTTTATGCCACTTTTAGCAAAATTCAGGCAATATCACAGTGGGGGACACCAGAAATGGGCTTCACACATTGTACTGTGGGGAACCAAACTATGTCCGGCGTGACAAGTGAATGCTTTAACCACTAGGCTATCCTACCACCCCTATTCATTACAAGACAATTGGTAATGAAAACCAAGAGCTTCACAGAGCATACACTGTACCAAAAACTTCAAACATTTTTTGTTTGAGTGCTTTAAACTTTATATACCTGATTATATACATGAGACGTAAGACATAACTGGTGTTGTTTTCAGAAGGACCTGTAAAAACCAGTAGATGGAAGATGTGTTCTCAATGAACCCATCTGTTTGTTCAGGCAGCACAAAACATATTGTTCAACTTTGTGATAATTTACTGAATAGTGTTGGGAATTGGTTAAAATCTCATAATTGATGATTGGTTCATTACTACCGATCAATCATCGGAAATAATTGGTTAGCATCATTTATGAAATTTGTTAATGCGCTTAAAAATAAGGAAAAAAACCATGTAGTTCTTTTGGGGTGTTTTGGCAAAATTTCATATCTTTAAAGGATAACTAGTATATTAGGAACATAAATTTCCTGGAATCTTTAAGATAAATTCAATCATGACTTGAAACGAGCTTGTAGTGCTTATGAAATATAACAGACAAAACCAACCTTGTGAAAAAAATTGTTAATGAAAACAAGTGTTCCAGAATTGTTTGTGTTTGATTATGAGAAATTATGATCGATTGCTTGGTCGTTTAGTCACTACAACCAATCTTCGATTATTTCAATTAATCGGACCACCACTAATACTGAATACACTGAACGAATATGTTAGAGATCATGGATATTTAACTGAACAAACAATAAAAATATCCATAAAAATATTCATAAGCCTAGTCTTTTTGGTCACTGTATTCATGTTATTTGGAATAAACAATAACAAATCTTGTTTCCTAAAATGTCCAACTGGCATATAAATTATAGATACCCTTCTCAATGGAGTGAATATTGTTATATGTCGCTTTTAGTGATATTACAGCAATATCGCAGTGGAGGACACCAGAAATGGGCTTCACACATTGTACCCATGTAAAATAGAACCCAGGTATTCCAACATTCTAACCACTAGGAATAAGTAGGATACCCCACTGTCCCTTTTTTACTGAAACAAGAACCTCTGAATTATGTTAAGGACTTTTGCATCATTACAGGAATCGACAAGGATGATTTACATCTGTCAGCCTGTCTGTACACCATCAGAGAGACAGTGTACTACAAACAGCAAAACCATCTGGCGATTAAGTCCCATCACAAATATATCAAACTGACACTGACATTGGAAAAGGGGTTATTTCCAAAAGAAATATGCCAGCACCATGAATACCTAGTCTCTTAATCTTTTATGAAAACCCCTGTGGAGAAAGGCTGTGGAGGGATACTTCTTACCATTGAGTGTCAACAATCTTGTGTAATGATAACATGCAGGTTAAGCTGGGATTTCACCTAAGTCCATGCATATCTCAACCTCAGGCGTAGAGCCACAGGCCAGTAAGACGAAGATAAGACATGCTCTGTCCTGGTCGAGCGTTATTGTAAATACTGTTTACCAGCATACACCAAATGGATATCATTGCTCTTCAAAACATAAACTGGCATGTTTAGTCTAGTCATTTCTACTTGGCTAGTAACATCAGGCCTAATGCAAATAATGATGAAGTTCAAATTTACACCTCATTTCAAACTAGGAGGCAGCTAGCTGCATGGTTTTATACAATGCTGAAGAAATACTGTTAAGATTGCAGTGCTTAGTATATATTTTCATGTTTACCCCTAGCTTTATAACAAACATTATGGCCTTCTGAATATATTTATGGTAGACATCTTAATTTAGGGTTTGTGAGGAACAGAAAATCCATAATCCATTTTCAGGACTTTGACAAAAACAGACGAGTCTTGCAAGATAGAACAGCAGATTCAGTGTACAAAACCAGTTTTGAAAATCCCTTGCTTTAAAGTTCAGCGTTAGTTTATGATTCCGACATCAAGTACACCCAAGACCAGGTTGTCAATCCATTTGCATCCAGATGCATTGATCAATCAATTCTGCAGTCAAACTGTTCTAATGCACTGTCAACTAATGCAGTAACAGCCAGTGGTCAAGGTATTTCCAGTGCTACCATATCTTATCTGATTTAAAGCAGATATTCTGGTCTAATGCCACAGAAATCTGATCAGTTCTACAAGAAATGTATTCCATACGTGGGTTTAGACAGTTCTTGACCACTGTCGTAAACTTAAATATGTTATCAATGACAGTTAACATCCAGAATGACAGGGAGACAATTAGTTTCATAATAGTGAGTGAGTGAGTATGGTTTTACGCCGTTTTTAGCAATATTCCAGCAATATCACGACGGGGTACACCAGAAATGGGCTTCACATATTGTGCCCATGTGGGGAATCAAACCCAGGTCTACTGCATGACGAGCCAACGCGTTAACCACTAGGCTACCCCACCGCCCCAGTTTCATAGTACGTTAAAAAGAGTTGTGTAAGTTTGAAGTGACAACATCAACAGAGACATGTTTTCATCTAGGAATCAGTACAAACTGTTCTTGTTACACAGTAAGTAAAGTTCTTGGAGAAACTTGAAAACAAAAGTGACATAACCCTTCCCATAAGAAATCCATAGTATAAGCATAGACCAATGTATCACTTCAACCATATCATGAGCAAGTGCTTATGAATCTTTATCAAATATCAATAAAAGGACTTAACAGTCACATAGAAAGGCAACCTTAACCTGCCCAACTGGTGCTAAATGTCATAACCACATGTACATCAAGGCAAATCCTGCTGGTCCAGTACTCATTCATAACTCACTACATGTAACAACTTGACAAGTATTGTGGCAGTATTCTACATGCATTCCTTCCAATTTATACTTTACTCAGACTCCTGGATTTACCTGTTTCTGATGTAATAGTATTGTCTATGTTCATATCATGATAAAATGAATTAATTTCATCTTATTGATGCTGTGTACATGACCAACATCACACATCACAACTGCAACTAACATGTCAATATCAGTTTTCAATCACGGCCACTGAAATATACATTTCCAGAAATCAAAGGTTCATTCAGAGGCAGCCTCCAGGGAGTGTTCCCTTTGAAATTGACAACAGTGCTGATGACATAGGGCATATGTCCATCATTACCTGTCACTCAACCCAAGCCATGTATGAATACACCTTATATCATGACACATGTTTATGTTTGTCGATCTGTTTGTCCAGGCAAGATCAATATTGGTTTCTTGTATCACTCAAATATGAAAGCTAACAATGCCAGGTATACAACATGTTGTTTTACCTCTAGCGAATACAGATCCCATAGATCAAAATACCCTTGTTCTAACTGATGAAAGCATTACAAACTAACTGTAATGCTATTGACAATTACTGTGACAAACATATATATGTGACATGTGATACTGTAATCAGATCACAATGATTTACTTAAACCATTGTTTAACCTGTTTGCTATTCAAATATTCTAAAACATATTAAGCAGGATAATGGTCCAAACAGACATGACTGATGTGAAAGAAATACTTGAAAAAAGGCAAACATATGTCACAGACCCAACAAGCATCTATCAGAGTCTTGGTTCAGAAAGTTACATTTCAACATATTATGATACAAGAATTGAATAATGCAAGTTTGTGCATTAAACAATAAACATCTAACACAATAGTATTAATAGAAAACATTGTTGTAAATTAATATGATTAACATATAGCCAAACATACCTGTGCCCCTCGTGAGTAAGATCTTAGGATGGTACAGAACCTCCCTTGTCCAGATGTGTCCCTGTCAATCAAGGAGATAGTATATGGCAATATATAGCAAAATGTGTGCAGGTAAGTGTCGTTCATTTTCACATGTGAAATACAGAATGCAAGTTATGAGGAAGTGACAATCAAGCCAATATATATCAAAGCATTGTCATTATTAGGTACTAAATATAGGTCATCTCTCGTGTATTTGGAGCCCACTGGGAGCATGGAAAGGAAGAATAATAATTGTAGTATAAAACACAGCGAATATATACAATGCAGTGCTTATCCTTTTTCCAGATGGCCCAGTGAACCTGTAAATGCTTAAAGCATCCGTTGGGGCTTCTGTTCCACTTGCAAGAAGAGTGAACACATAAATTAGCTATCCAATATTGAAATAACAATATTCATCAGTTGTACCACAGTATACAATGTTTATAGCATCAGCAATGTTTGTATGGGCGTTCTGGGTTCGAGGAGAATGTATCATGACTATTGTACAATAATAACATCAATATTCAGGATTATATCCTGGGCACCACACACAGTGTCTGTATCTTCACATCACATATGTAATATACTCACCACAGTTGCAACTTTACTCTTTTGCCATCCAACAGAATCGTTGTCGTTTTATAATCAATCCCTGGAAAAAGATCGAGATTATTTAATTCTCACACACAGAGTCCAAACAACACCATTGCCGTTGGTCATATAAAAACATATATTGTACAGTATCTTTAGTTTAACATGCAGTCATAAACAATAATGATCTGTTCTGCATAATTTTAACTGTTGACTAGATTTTTCTTAAGTTAAACCAACCATATCCATCAGTACTCATGACCATTTATGATAATGATACCATTGATCAAGAAAGGTCTCTAGTACCCCTGGATTCTGTGATTACAGTGTCAGTCATGGATGTTTGTGTTGCATCAAACCTATTTTGTGTGGATTGTTGCTCATGCTGTCACTCATTGACATGCCTGTTGAAAGCTGGTTTACTTATGTGATATAGTTTAAAATTGTACTCACTCAGAAATCATAACCTTAGTATAAGAACACAGATTGTTCTGTGCTGTGAAACTTAAAGATGTATAATTTCAATTAACACATGTTCAACTATAAATACAGCTGGTGTGGATTAACCTGGAGCATACTGTAACTGTGAGCTACAGTATGATCAGAGCTTGGTAGATAAATTCAGCTGAGTTACATTCAATATTTAGAACTGTTTTATGCATCAAAAGAATGTCTAAGCCAGAGTAAAGTGAAAAACTGTGTGTACATTGGGAAATTTAAACCATGTTTCTGACAGGAAAACACCTATTACATACAATGTATGATAAATTATACATTTATCAACATGCAAACTTGTGAGAAGAGGTCTTGATTTTATCATGCAATGATGTATCTCCTCGAAAGTGAAAACAGTCATCAATGGATGATGTCATGTTTACATGTTTACAAGAGATTGTGCGAGATTGTCAACAGTACAATGAACGAATACACACCACAATTTGAGTATCCGTAGGGTGATTCAGTCGCTCCGTCCTCCATCCCTGACAATAGTTCTTCTTTTCCAACATCACTGTCTCCAACGAGGAGAAATTTCAGTAAATAATCGTATGATTTAGATGCAGAAGCCGAATTTACAGGCCGAGGGGGCGAGGGACTACTGGTAACAGCAGTGCACATCATTACGGCGCTGATTGATCGAGCTTCCATATACGCGTTAAAACAACAGTTTCCATTTTATCCAGAATTTAAACGATACGTATCCATGGCCATTTGGGAATAAACCACACAGACACACAAATATAAGTGACAAAATTTAACCCATCTCAAACAACGTCTAGATGATCGCTTCTCTTCCTCAGAATACTCTGCGCATGACGGATATGAAAGTGCGCGTTAGGGGCGCATGCGTCAAGTGTCAAAACCAAGATGGCGGTAAATGTGAAGTCAAAATGTTACGAGAATATGTTTACCGTTATTTTGAGATGATCGCTATCAAAATACAGTGTCACGCGCTTTCAGTCAATTCATACACTTATAAATGAATTCCACAAAAGTCTAAATTGATTAACATGTAAGACTGCTTTTGAAATTTGTTTTTTTTATATCGTCTGCTCCGCCAACCGCACTCGATCTTCCCTCAAAACGCCTCGTTAGTGTCTTTCTCAGTGACCAGGTAAATTAACTGTAAAACTGTACCCTTCCGGGCATGAATAAGGCAAAACCTCTTGTGCGGAACTTTGTAAGCATAATATTTTTCATATGAATATGATATATTGCATTGTTTTACACAAACCTGTGGAGATGTAATCAATCTCATCAATATTTTTCAATCTAAATTTCCAAATCATTTACCCTTGAAAGTTTAGTCATAAGTATTATGAATTTATAACTTTTGAAGTCACGATATGGCTGAAATATTGCCAATGTGACTGTAAATGCTAACTCAGTCACTCACCCATAGGCCTCTATGATCATTATTTCATCTCATTGAGAGCTGTTGCAATTTTTTTTATATACGACAAAGAAAGAAAACGCCAGTCTCCTTATACTTTTAAGAAATTGTATGCTTACACCGGACTAACATGATCATTTTTGTTCCAGCTGATGTGTATATATAAAGCAACAATCTGGATGTGTTGGTGGTAAAGAATATGATGGAGGGTTTAGAAACGAAATCCATTGACAGAAATGAGGTACAAATTTTACATGTCTTATGATGGTGATGATTAATTATTGTCAAATCATTCTTTCATTTTAACATAAGTCATTATATTTAACACTTCACATGCCTAATCTAATCACATAATACATCTACTTCCATAGCAACTTATTTTCTACAGCATTATTACTATGTAGAAGTGAATGTGTACATGATAAGGTATCAGAAATGAAATATTGTATTGGTCTATTAGTTTTGTTGAACTATTTTTTGTGTATTCTCACATAGAAGCTACCAAGAAAATGGGTAGGAATTATGAAGCTCATTCTCCATGATGTTCTAGTAGGGGTTTCATGTGCGATATACACCTTATTTTGTTAATATTATATTTTCCCCAGGTTAGACCCAACAAGAATATGCTAGTTTGAAGATCATGAAATTTCTGATAGTCCTTACTACCCATTTCTCCCAGAGCATTTTAGTTACATGACCATCAACAGGGCTCCAGATAATTTATCAACATCAAGAGTACATACTCCTTATTTTCTAATATAGGAGTACTGGAAAAACCTAAGAGTACATTTAGAGCACGGAATGGAATTTAATGGCATGTCAGTAATCTTGTGTTTTGTTTCATATGTGCACCACATATATTGTAAACAGGTCAATAAACAATAAAACAATACTTTTTCAGATAAATACGTCTGTAAATGATTATAAGGCCGTACACCATTGCTATGGTGCATATCTGCTACGTTTTCTAAAATTATTTCCTACTGTATCGTGCATATTTTCTATCCGTACATCGTATGCCCTTATCTGTAGCCCTGCATCAATATATAAACCACTAAAATGATCTGTGGACTACATGAGATCGATTTAAGTAAGTTGAAAATATTACCATGTTTTACAAAATGGCATAGTAGTATTGTGTTTCTACCATTGTGCACTTTTCCTAGTTGATATGATCATTATCCCAACATTTTTGCAGTGTGTTTAAAAAGCCTTTCCACATTGTAATATTACTTGTACCCTCTCACTTGTAGGGTAATAAGACCCTGCTGCAGTGTTCTTTTTTATTATTATTATTATGTTTTTAAATTTAATATTTTACAGGTTTTGGAGAGGCTAACTCGAATGAAAAGAGAACTTGTGAGAAAAGAAAAGAAACTTGAGGTAAGAATTTCATAACCACACTTATCGCCTCACAGTGATTCTTGTATACAAACAGTGTAACTAAAAAGTTATTGGTATGAGACTTGATGAAAGTGGATCCATCAAAAAAGCAACTTTTGAAGTGTGTAGAAAAGTTGTGTCATCATGAAATTATGAGAAAATAGGCAATAGAAAATCTAAGATCACGAAAATCATTTTGGGAATACATTTCATATCAGCATGACAATTAATCTGTGTGAATTCTGTGCCAAGATACAGGAGTCAGTTTGTCCATAACTGCAGCATGATTAAAAGGTATTCTTTTTTTAGCACAGTCTTTGCATAACACTTGCTTCTTTACACAGATATAGTTACAGACTTTTGGATCAGATTAGCCTCTTTGAGCAGGTAGTCACAGTCTTTTGGATAGCTTCTTCAAGCAGATATATAGCTGCTATTGAGCAGTGATATTTCAGATGCCCCATTTAACTGTAACTTACTTAAGCTGATTTTAGATGTGCTTGAGAATGTTTTGTTTTGGACCATGTATATTGTCTTTATTGTGACATAAGAATGTGTTTACTGTTTATTGATGTCAAATTAATATCCATAATTAATTGCTTGTTTTTACTGTAAATACGCAGAGAGCAAAGCGTGCCTTAAGAGCAAAAGCACATGTGAAACAAAAACTGAGGGAGCAAGCTTTGATCCAAGGAAACTGTGGCTCCCCACACCTTCAGCAAGAGGAGTCTCAGGCAAGTGCTAACAGCAACTCATGGACACCAACGTCAGTGGCAAATTCTTCCCTTGATGTATCTCAATCATTCTCGGATGAAAAGTCAGAAAACTTTGTCATCAGAACTAAAAGAGACCTTGAAAAACACCATGTTAGACAAAGGGAGATAACTCCTTCATCGCGACGACCCTTTCTGGCTAAACTGGAACAGGCTTGCGGGCAGTCATTGAAATCAGAAATTAATGTTCAGTGTTCAAAATCCATTGACACCGGTTTGAAATCAAAAGCTTTGTGCAAACAGTTGGTTCAGTATGAAAGTAACAAAAGAGTGAAGGCAACGGAAAATGCGACAAGTGAAGATGTGTTAGATTGTTCTGTTCAGGTTGGTGTCAAGGATCGGTGTTCTGGACATGGTGGTATTAGTCCGGACTTACTTGAAGACTATCCCATTATTCTTGACAAAAAAGTTACATTATGTGATGCCGATGATATACATCTTGACAATTCTTTGTTTCTTACACCAGCTCCAGTCAGTAACAATTCAGAGAAAGTTGATCTTCATCAACAATGCCAAGAACATTCTGTGTTGGGCTTGACAAATGTTAAACTTAAGCTTGAATTTGGGATGGAAAATGCTCTTGAAACAGTAGGATCAAATGGGAAAACGAATGACATTCAAACTGTGGACAAACAAAGCAAACATGTTTCATTAGAAAGCAAACATGAATCTCAGGATGATCGAATCCTTGATGATTGTATTTTGGTACAGAGGACGTTCAGTTCAGATGTCAATCAAGAAACCATTCAGAGCTCTCTATCTCCAGTTTCTAAAATCACAAGAAACTGCAAAAGAGAGAATGCTCTTTCTTTGAGCAGAAAAAGAAAAAGTGGTGCCAGTGCTCAAAGACACAATGAAAAGAAGTTCAAATCCAATGGTATGGAGACTGACTCCGTTTTTGTGACATCAGAAACAGAAAGTGTTTCAAGAGAAGACACAGTTACTGTGGTCTCAGATTCTCTCTCCCCAGTTGCTAGCCAGAGTTTACTGAAGCCTTTAATTCCCAAAGAATCACAAGCCACAATGAAAGAGGATCTCACCTGTGATATTCCAAAGGAAGTTTTGCCTAAAGAGGTGTGTGATAAGACATTTGTAAACAACTGCCAAAATATTAAAGAAAACAGTTTGTCAAACATTTTTCGTGATAATCACAAAATGAGTTTTTCAGAAGAAACTGATTTAGAATGTAAGAGTTATCAAAAAAAGAAATCTTCAAAGAAGTCCCCAAAGATTAAAACAGGATCATCACAACAAAAACAGACACAGCCAACTGAATACCTAGATTTTACTGAGCTGGATGTGATTCCATTCTCACAGTTTCAGTACTCAGACTGTCTTTTCTCAAGTCAGGACTTACTGTCTGAGACTGTCCCTGGCAAAAGAGGAAGGAAGAGTCATTTTGGCATGCTAATACAGAGACGATCTCCACGTTTGTCAGCAGGACTCAAGAATTTAGTCGGTGATGACATCATGCCTGATGACTCTAACTCTGAAACCATTGCATCAGAGATCTTAGAAACTGATTCCTTATGTGGTTCTCAGATACTGTGTCCCGAGCTTGTTTCTAAAGGAGGTAGACGTCTGAAGAAAAGTAAAAAGGGCATTATGATATCATCAGTGTTCCAATTCATCATTGATGAAGCAAAGAGAGTCAAAGAAGTGAAAGAATTTGTACTGCCAATTAACATATTTAACAAGAGAGCGCAGAAAAAACTAGCAAAATATGTATCTCAGGATAGTGTTAGTTACAATGGCCTTACATCTGAGATAAAACACAACACAGGTATGAAAGTTGACGGATTTCAATTTGGAAGATGTAAAAATGGATCGAACCAAATACGGAGCAAGCATGTTAATCAGAACAGAAGATGTCAGGAAAATCTGAACAATAACACTGTAGAGGATGCAGCAGAGCTGTTGGATTTCAGTGTGTGTAAGGAGGAGAGTAAGTTAATAAAAGTTGACATGAGTCAAAGTTTTTCAGCAGAGAAGATTCCTTTCAAGATGTCACAAGGAAATATTGGTGATGAAAGTAAACAATGTGATTTTATGGAGGAAAGAGACAATGCCACTTGCAAGAATGTGAATTTACTTAATGAAATGTGTGTGTTTGACACTGCTAGAGAAGAAAATCAATCTGCCCTTTCAACTCCCAAACACCAGTGTGTCAGCTTTAAGACACCAAAGCAAGAAGTATGTGATTTTGCAACACCAAAACACCATCCAAGCTTAATGTCTACACCTAAGGTTGAAAATTCATTTGTAACTCCAAAGCACCAGATCAGGAGAACGAAGTATGATATTGCTTCAACTGAGACATGCTCACCGTCCCTGTTTCCATCACCGGAGGTCAATGAGGAGAGCACTCCATTGTTTTGCAGTCCAGTTTCTGCTTCTAAGGCATCACCTTCAGGTGTTGCTGCGTTACCAGAAGGTGGGGACTGTGGTGTTGATGATGATGATGTGTTCTCCAGTCTTGCTGATCCTGCAGATACAGAGGTTGAAAACAGAGAAGAGAAGAGACTTGTTAATGTTGGATGTTTTCAGGTAGGTTATCTCTGATATAAATTATGAAATGTATGGAAGAATACAAGAAGTTCATTGATTATAAACAGTATAAACTTTGTCCCCTATGAAAGAAACTTTGTCTGGTAAAACCAGCTAATATTAGTCCACGAAGATGCAAAGTTGACAGGATTTGATTTTTAGACTTGACATACTCCAAAGCTACTGGCTGAAAATGGTGTATAACATACTGATAATATTTATTGCTTAACATTCTACAAGACATAATTTGTCAATAAGATCTGTAATCCTTGGTTATAAACGCTGTTATAAATTTCTGTATCCAAGACTAGCAAGACAGAGCCTATCATCTCAGTCCTGTGTGGAGTACTACACACTGCAGGGTCACTGGTGGACTTTGTTGTCACAGTCTTCTCAACTTCCCTCAGCATCTGGTCCATGGAAACATCACTGTGGACAAATGAACTAGACTGGATTCTACCAGAGGTAAGTTAACGCATTAGTTTCCAATGTTAATTAAAGTTCATAAGTCATTAATTGCTACTAAGCTACTACTCAGATGTAAATTTCATTCCACCAAGCAATTTACATTTTCCAAAATACTGTTATCATACAGACTACTAGACATAAGAGGAAACTTAACCTAAATGAGATGAATCATTTCAAGCAAGTAGGTAAGTGTTACTATTGTATTTAGTAAAGTTAAATGAATACAAAGTAAGCTTTGAGGTCGTCAACATAGAGTATTCATTCCCTTATATAACATTGGGATGTAAGAGTAAACAATTAGGATATAAAAAAACTCTGTTATCTTTTATACACACCATCACTCATATGAGCATGGTAAGAGTCTAAGACATCCTCAATCAGGTATCACTGGGCAACCTGTTGCATTGACAGCGGTTGACTGGTTAATAAATTTTGCATTTAGGGTTGTGAAGCGGAGACAGCTTGGTTGATGCCATCGGAGGACAAGATTGTTGTAGTATTGTCAGGGTCAAGCATCAAGGTTCCTGTCATGGTCAGTGTGTTTGTCTATGACTGGTTATCAGGTGACTCGACAAGGTTCAACCTTCCCCTGCCTGCTTCAGTAAGATGGTAAGATATTAGACATTAACTGAATCAGATTTGATTACCAGTTTTATTAGAATTATAAAAAGTATGAATGTCTGTGTCAAATAGACGAAAAATAACGGTTCAAATTGGGGCATTTAGGTTGATTAATGGTTACAGCATTGGCTTGTCATGACAAAGACTTGTGTTTGATTACAAGCATGGTTAAAATGTATGAATTCCATTCTTGTTGCCCCTGTTAATCAATCATTTGAAAAATGTATGATTTACTTGCAAACAAGTCAATTATTTGTGTTGTATAGACATTCTTATCTCTGTTTGAGTCATTATGAGTCAAGTAAAATATTTCAGTTACAAATCCAACACTTCCATGGAGCAGCATTTATGCACTCATGTTTAGGAATGATCTTTTATGTTTCAGCCCCATGAGCAATGGTATTTGCTGCCCACTCACCGACCGCCAGATCACAGTGTTCTACAGACAAGGCACACTGACTAGGGGTCAGAAACTTACCCTGAATGCCACATTCACAGCCACAGTGGATGATATCAATCTGGACAGCATAGATGGTCATCTGACCAGTGTTATCTCTGTACAAGACCTCAGTCCTGCCATTGTTGGGCTCACAGTCAACTCACTGTTTCATATATGGTAATCCTTTATGATGAAATATACACGTGAATCAAATGGAAAAGGTTTTCCAAGTCCATGATGTATTCAGTGTTTAATTTGTAGAAAGGCAATCACATGCAGCAAGGTATAAGGGAGGTAACTCTTGGAAGAAGTGAGTGTTGTATCATGTACATTATGGTACTCTAGTCAGATTAGGGGCGGTGGGGTAGCCTAGTGGTTAAGCGTTTGCTCGTCATGCCGAAGACCAGGGTTTGATTCCACACACAATGGGCACAATGCCACACAATGGGCACAATGTGTGAAGCCCATTTCTGGTGTTCCCCACCGTGATATTGCTGGAATATTGCTAAAAGCAGCCTAAAACTATACTCACTCACTTATCAGATTACATACCTACACAATGGTGAATTTGTATTTTCAGGAATCACGAGTGTGGACTATTATTGCAGACAGTGGACATCAGTTTCTCATGCTCCACAGCAGTTACACTGGCATCAGTACAGTCTGAACAGGTACATCATCTGCCTGTGACATTTCATTTCTACATATGCACTAATAAGTTTGCAATTTCTAAGATGCAAAACTATACTGTATTCAGAATCCCTTTCAAACTTCTTTGGCTTTCCTACCAACGCTTATTAAGTGGAGCTCAATTCCACTGAATTGACATACTTAAGACCTACACAGCAGCACATATCCTCAGGTCTGAATCTCACATTCTCTTCTTTGTATAAGTAAAAACTATGGCCATTGATCTTCTTCTTTTACCACAACAAGCAAGGGGAACAGTCTCCCACTCAAACTTACAGTTTCTGCAGCCTTTTAGACTCTTTAGAGCTCTGTCACTGTTTGAACTAAACCCTTTCTTGTGTGTTTCCAGCATACGTTCTTGTAAAGTTGTGTGCTTTATAAACAATAGACATTAATGATGCTGTTTCATTTTGAAATCCAAAATAAAAATATTAGCATGTAAGGTTACACTGACATAGCTTGTACGTTATGATTTTGTTACGTCTTGATTTAGCCTTCAAATTTGACTTATGATGTTTGGCTAAAATTTAGTGATATGATGTTTGTGGAAAGTGCAAACTTCTTCAAATAAAGATAAGGTGTTGTTATCCCCCCTGGCATGTAATGCGGGGGGATATGAGTCAACGCCTCGTTCATCTGTCCGTCCATCCTTCTGTCTGTCCGTCCGTAAGTATTTTGTTTCCGGAGCATAACTCAAAAACGTTCAATATTTTTCAACAAAACTTGGTATATATATCAAACAGAACCTTAAGTGGTGCCTTTTGCTATTTGCAAATATTTGGCATTTTTATTTTTCCTGGTTTCCATGGAAACGATTCGAACTTAGTCCCAAAAGGGAGGGGTGGGCTTCATTTCCGGAGCACAATTCGAAAACTTCTTAATATCTTTCAGCAAAACTTGGCAGATATGTGAGGCAGATCTCAAAGTGGTGCCTTTTGCTATTTGCAGATTTTTGTGATTTATTATTTTCTCGGTTTCCATGGAAACAATTTGGACTTAGTCTCAAAAGGGCAGGGGTGGAAATAACCCATTGCCCGACGTCCGAGTCCAGTGTTTTTTTCTGTCGGGCAAGCAAATTTGTATATCACACTGTACCGGTGTCCACTTGACTTTCCAATGTTAATTATGTTGTTTATTTTAAAAAATCAACCAGAAGACACCCAGTATAGTGGAAAACTTATCAGGGCAAGTGATTTTACATGTGCAACTGTACCGGAGTACTCTAGCATTTTAAAAGTTATTTCCACCCCTGAAGGGAGGGGCGGGTTTCGTTCCCGGAGCACAACTCGAAAACTTCTTAATATCTTTCAGCAAAACTTGGCAGATATGTGAGGCAGATGCCAAAGTGGTGCCTTTTGCTATTTGGCAGATTTTTGGCAGATTTATTTTTCCTGGTTTCCATGGAAACGATTTGGACTTAGTCCCAAAAGGGAGGGGTGGGCTTCATTTCTGGGGCACAACTTGAAAAGCGTTCAGTATCTTTCAACAGGACTTTGCAGATATATTTGGCAAATTTTGAAATGGTGCCTTTTGCTATTTACAGATTTTTGGCATTTATATTACTCATGATTTCCATGGAAATGATTTGGACTTAGTCTTTAAAAAAATCAAGCTGGACTTTAAGTTACTGTCAGATGATTTGTTCTTTCAAATATGTGGGGGCCGGGGGGATATGTCATCTTCTGATGACTCTTGGGTTTTTTAAGTGCTGGTGTTATTGAGTAACTGTTGTCAATAATTGTATTTGAAACCGATTCCATCAGCCACAGGTTTCAGTTCTATATTTTCCAGGTATCCAATGATCAGATACTCTATAATACCTACTAATCACAAAATATAATGTTTACTGGCATTTAAAATAGGTTATCAGTTATTTCTTCTGCACTCTTTCAATGTGTACTCAAACAACTGCAAGACAGCTGAAGTCAGTCTGGAACATTATGGTATTTTCATACCATCATTCATAACAACCATAATCTGATCCGGTCCATCTTTGTTTTCAGGGTTATTTACTGCTTACTATGATGAATACCAAGGGAGATAAACCTGCAAGTCTTCTTGCTGTGAACCCAATGACATGTGAAAGCCATCAGATATTTTCATATGAGACAGTGCCACAGTGGAAAGGGTAATATATTGTAAATTGTGTATATGCATTTATTTTAATTGATTCTCAATGTTGTAGGCTTCTCAGACACCACAAAGTCTAGAATTCTGAAATATTTATGTGGTGTGTTGCATCACAATCATACTAAGATTTAATCAAAAGTGTAAACTGAATCAATATAATGCTTCTTTTTTTTAATGTTAATTTTTTTTAACACATTCGAGAAACTGATTTTTAGAAATAGTTAGTCCCAGAGAGTGGTAACTTCAAAAGTTGGACTCTATCCATTATGCAGGTGTTTATAACATTTGCTATCTTTCAGTTTTTGACATTTTTTAAGCATCTTCCTTGAAATTGTAAGGCCCAGAGTGATGATAGTTTGATAGGACATGTAACACTGCAATGTTGTACTGATTTAATCATCGTCATGGCATTGGGAAATTATGGTTTTCTTCAAAGCCAATTAACCGTCACACTCCTCACTAGATTTTTAAATATGTCACTACTGTTTGTCTTCAAGATCGGGGATGAGTGAGTTGTTCGAGGACCTCCTTGTGGTTTGTGACAAGTCTGGATCTCTCCTCCTGTTTGACATATGCTCTGGACAGCTCATGGTACGACTGTCTGACCTTCACACCAAGTGCTTGGCCGTAGATCCCTCACAGGAACGAATCTTCTCAGGACAAAAAGATGGATGTGTGCATGTGTATCAACTGTCCTGATGATGTATTCAAGCATCTTTGTGTAACATTTGTGTAGCTAATAATGTTCACTTCAGGTTTTTTATCAGGACATTTTATATAGTAGTCAGGTCAAAGAGATTGCTCCAGTCTGGGTATTATTTAATTTCCATAAATCACGTTGGAAATAGCAATTTCCAATGGCCTTCTTGCCTTCGTCTAATTTGAAAGGTATTCTGCCAATTGCTTAATTGTAATATACTCAGTAGATTGAACTTAATCTAGCAAGTGAGATGACAGTTTCTGTTACTACACAGTATTGGATGAACAGGTTTGTAAATAGTGGACTAAATCATTATTCAGTCAAAGATATCCTGTATGTGGGCTGTTTCCAACAATGACCCATTGTGTCTGAATGATGGCATGTTCCTATGCAGAGCATCCACAATAAGAGTAGACGGAAATTACTAAAAAAGCAGAGCTGATAATTTATAATACATCTTACTTTAAGAGAGACAGTAAGTGATGATTAGTATTCTGTGCAGAGTTCCTTCCTTTTGTTATGCCAGGATCTGCTGGTCAGGGGTTCAGACCTTTGTAATACTTACAGCCCTTGGTCTGTGAGCACCATACCTGCACTCATTGCTTTCAGTAAGTAGTATGCATCACTTTGTGCTTTTTTCTGACACACACTTCTCATCCTAGCACACAGAGACAGATAACCTTGCCAGTCACAAGTTGACGTTAACAGCAGTAAAACTTATGGAAGAACCTGTTAGATGTCATATTTGTAGTGCTAAGATCAGTTAGTGAACAGGCCAACAGGTTACATATTTCAGCAACTTTGTAAGTTTTAGCCTGAACAGAAGATGTATATGCAGTTGGAAGAACTACTGTGTTGCAAGCATGTCTTAGAGTTATATTTGGCATTTACTCAGCTTTGAAAGCTGAACATGGAGATATTTTAAGTGTTCGGTTTAGAATTTAGAGTGCATGTGATTGGTATGGATGCATCTAACTCCTGTTGTCACACTGATACTAGGTATGTTAAGGCTATAGGTGATAGTAATACACTACTCAAAAGATAAGTATCTTTTCATTTGTTTTACATGTCTGTCGTGCAGAGATTTGAATTCAAATAAGCATGCTGTTTGTAACAGCAGGATGAAGTTATTGATTTTATTATATCATATTTGTTTAATTTATGCTACCAAAGCCAGGTGCTCTATTCTACTACATGAAGGGGATATGTTGCTAATTTAACACTATTAAATTGTATAGAGCTATTAAACTTGTTGTCCATTCAGATTATAGTTTAGCAAAAGGATGGCAACTGTTGTGTCTTTAACCAGTCTGTTGTGTTTGAATCTCAGAATTGCCCTGATTATCCTTGATATGTCAGAACCATGCTCATGCTTGCTAGACAAGCACCACTAGGGCTTTCCCCACTCAATAAAATGAAATGCTGTTCTAAGTTCTATTAAACCCAGAATCACTCTCATGCAAGCATGTAATGCTACCTTTCATATCTGAAAGGCCTTTTCTTTGTAGAACATATAAACTTTATCAGGACACAATATGAAACTTGTATGTTGAGACAACATTTTGATTTACCACATATGTTTTGGGTGGTTTTAGAACAAAACGAAATGACTTTGAGTTGGTGTCCTAACAAAAAGATAAAACTTCACCCGTGGCTGTACCAGTGTAACAGGCCAAACTAGAGCCCCTGGCCAAACCTTTCCCGGGTAAACTTTGGCCTAGCCCAAACACTCCCCGGGGAAAGAATATCCTAGGTTAAAACCTCCCCTGGGAAACTTTAGCCTAGCCCAAACTTTCCCTGGGGAAAGAATAACCTAGGATAAAACCTCCCCGGGGAAAGTTTGGCCTAGGCCAGATCCCCCCCAGGGAAAGTTTAGACCGGGGAAGAAATGGCCTGCTACACCGGTTATGAATGCATATGGGATAAGATGTACACATATTTGATTTGATTTAGAAATTACACCTTATGTTACACTAAGTAAATCCATGTGACTGGTGATATTGCATAAGACTGCTATAAAGAATTTCTTAGAAAACTAACATTTTGTTGTTTTTCCTTTTTCTGTGTCGACACTGGGCTGTCCAACAATCCAGAATAAATGAAGAAATAAAGTTTGCCAAACCCTTATGTGTGGTATAATAATCATGTCAGGCAAAGATGTTTATCACATTCATGAAATAGAAAATGAAATTAATAGGGCCAATTCAAAGATTTATAAGCTGTTAATTTACTGTGTTTCAATTCTCTATAGTTATTGCTGTTTTCTGGTTGTCTTGGAGTCAGCATATGTAAGACTTACAACCATACATATTCATTCATGCATGCATGCTGACTGTTCAAGTGCAAGCACCTTGAACATGATGCGCCGTGATATTCCTGGAATATTGCTAAAAGCGGAGTAAAACTAAACTCACTCACTCACTTGAACATGATGCTAAACCCAATAATGTGTTCACATGGTTGTTAAATGACTGTTGGCTACTTACAACTTCAGTTGGCATGTCAAGATATCACTGTTTACATAGATCATTGACCCATGAAGATCCTGGTTAGTCAGTGACATCAAACAGCTCACATGTCAAAACTGCTGTACTTCAAAATGAAACAAGTCTAGAATCTTGAGAGATTAAAAAAATCCAATAACACTGGGGTCCCTTATCAAGTTAAATGTGGGTGTGTTTCTGATCAAATGTATATTTTCTGCAACCTTCCATATCAAACCTTAATGGATCCATCATCAAGGTGACACTTTAAAATTCGCTATTTTGAGAACAGAGTACCTGTATAAATGATTACCGTTTACCTGACCCAACAAATAGATGCCAGGTCTTGTTTATGGACAATGATTGACACATCCATACATTACTTTACTCAGTAAGTCAAATTCTCCAATCTTGTGCATAAAACCTCCGTCTGTAGGTCAGTGTTTCATCCTGCTAAAGACAGTACTTTAGTTCGATCAGAAACAGTTCTCAGTATGTCTATCTTTACACCATCCCCAGACAGTTGGTATTTCGTTTAGACTTGGTAAAATTGCCAATTCACTCTGTGTGGACAACGTTATCAAGCAGTTCAATCCCGTCCTTAGTCAATATATATCACACCTATCTCTTTCTTAATATGTGTGGGGCGGTGGGGTAGTCTAGTGGTTAAAGTGTTGGCTCGTCACGCCGAAGACCCGGGTTCGAATCCTCACATGGGTACAATGAGTGAAGCCCATTTCTGGTGTCCCCCGCCGTGATATTGCTGGAATATTGCTAAAAGCGGCGTAAAACCAAACCCAGTCAGTCAGTCTTAATATGTGCATCCCTGTTTTAACTCGTTTTCAGACAGTTCTTCCCGGTCCCACTCCGCAGTCATAATGGTAATCGACGTCCTGGCCCGATTTCTACAAGTACTCGGCACGTTCTTGTCCGTTCTCAGTTTCAAGTTGGAAACAACGACATCACCATGCCCCCAAGGGAGAAGAAGGGTGGGCCATGAAGGACAGGTTGTGGGAAATCCTGTCCAAGATCCACAACCCCAGATGAAGCCATAGTTCATCACACATGGGTGGGGTGATTCTCAAGAAATTGTAGAAAGACTCATGATCATCAAGGTGGAGTTCCTCGATCAGATGATTATAATGTCCCACAGCTATTCGCCTCACTCAACAAGTTCTTGTTCTTTTCCACCTTTCTTGCTCTACCAACTCATTACATACTCTTACTCTGCTTCCATTATAAATTGTGGGAAACCAACATTCAACCGTTTGACAGTTGCAAACTAGTTCATGATTCACAGATAGAAATCTCCAGGGCCGGATACAGCTTTTTATTCTTTTCTTTTTCTTTCTTTTTTTTTTTTGTTTTTGTTTTGTTTTGTTTTGTTTTGGGGGACACTTCATTTTCACGAGTTTCAATGGTGAAACCCCCTCTGGATCCGCCTATGGTCTCTATCCCAAATGACGAACGTGTTAGAAACGCATGTATTTACAAACACACACACACACACACACACCTTGTCATATCGTACTGCTCACGAACTGCGCGATAACTACATAAATGTACTAACAACGAGTATCTCGTCCCATTGCAAACTTTAGAACCGCGTAGAAAAGTACTACGAACTTCTTAAGAACAATTCATTTTGTTTTGAAAATATTTGCACGGAATAGCAAGCAACTAAGGACGTAATGCTCTCGAGTTAGGTCTGTCTGCGAACGGGATAGACTTGGTGGAAACTGTACACATACGTACTGCAATTGATGCCCGGCTGCACACGTCCCCAGTAAGATAGAAGTACGGTAATTCCGTTCGTAGTGCGACAGTCTCGTTTTAAGTACGTTGTCACTCCGTCCAATTTTAGAACGGGTAGAACGTTGGATACGTTCAACGTTCTGGGGCACCCTTCCGACCGAGCCTGTCCATAAAGTTCTTAAACAGACTGTAAACAGGTGCCACGACGTCCTGTCCGTTCGCACACAGTTTTCAAGAACGTACTGAGAACGAGTTTGGTGTGATGGGGGTATTTTCCCTGTGTGATAGGGCCGTAAAACAGCAGTCAGCTGGACTAGTGCAAGCAGCCATATACTTCTGTGCATTGCTATGTAAGTGCTGGAATCTTGGAAGCCACGTTTAACCCCACTTCTTCTTCACCTCATCTCACCCTACCTGAGAAGAGCTTCCTGGTTCACACTAATACTGAGAGGGAAAGGTTTCACGTGTTTCCACCTACGGGTTGATGTAGCCAAGTGGAGAAGCGTTCACTCGTCACACCCCAACACCCGCGTTCGATTGCAATGTGTGACGTCATTTCTCATCCCCGATCATGAGAAGCCTCGAATATGCCCTCACTCAACGTTTCTCGTAAATACAGTAAAACGCAAATATTATGGATGATAATGTTTCTCGTTCGCAAGTCAGTGTATTGATTAACAGTCATAGGGATTCGAATACATTCTCAGCTTAATCCCCACATGGGTACAATGTGTTAAGCCTATTTCTGGTGTTCCCCGCCGTGATATTGCTGGAATATTGCTAAAAGCGGCGTAAAACCAAACTCACTCACTCACTCTCAGCTTAATATTTATCTAAAAGAAGTAGGGATTACTCAGAAATAACATTTTAAAATTCCTAAGATAAGGGATATTAGTATGATAAAAGTGTACGAATTTTGAGAATTACAACCGGTAGTGAAGTAGGACGATAACAAGGGAAAATTCTTAGTTTTTGGATCAGTAGTGCGTGGTGCCAGAGACCATACCGTCACATTTTGTCATTTTCTTTATCTTGACGAAACGAGAAAGTAGGGGTAGGTCGCTGCTTCACATTCTATGTATGTTCTGTCGGATGTGAGTATCGACGGTTCGAGCACCGGGGCATTCCTGACCAACTCGTGTTATTCCGGGACAAGCCGAATAGCGACTCGTGTCGCTCTGGAAGGATTTCATATTGGCGCATGAACATCAGAACTACTTTAAACAAGAACGATAACTCTATTTCTGTTTGATTCCAGTGGTACTTAATATCACCGATGCACTTGTATATTGTACTCCTGTTTTCGGTTTTAGTTTTCTTTCTTTCCTTTTTTTAAGAATCAGACATCTTTGATTCAACTAAAAGAAGGAGAAAAAATATTTGTTAGACACACAATTACCAGCTGTTTACCTGATATGTATTTCATTTTTATGTGCGCGCGTGTGTGTGTGTGTGTGGTTTAAGAATCACAAAAAGGATTTGTTTCTTGGAATATGCAAATAAAATAATCATTTTTTCAGCTACCTATATGATACCAAAGCAGATACTAAAACATGACTTTGAAATATTTCTCAAACTGAACATTCGTGTGACCTTGCTGGGATAACCCTGGTGGAATTTACATAATTTGGCTGAAAAAAATATGAATGACCAAGAAAAAGTCAACCTCTTCTTGGCGGTTACGGAAAGGGGCGAGTGGTGACGATTGGACTGCCCCCGTGCCAATCGTCACCACTCGCCCCTTTCCGAAACCTCGCTATTCGGCTTATCCCGTAATAATATAACACGAGTTGGTCACGAATGGGGGGCAGTCGTCCTGAAAGACAAAACGTCGACATGCCATGCAAACGGAACAAAAGAAGTCAGTTTGTTGTCCCGATGGTACTGTACAGAGACCTTTCCTTGCACAATGTTGTGTGGGTTTGTTCAGTCATAGTGAAGCCACCGGCACCAATGCAGATCCACCGCAAAATCTGCCAAGAGGTCTCAGACTGACATAGACCTGGCGTTCATTTCGACGTCGCGGACTCGACCACGCCTACAGGAAAGTGCAAAGTGAAACGGAATACATCTGAAAACAAGACACAGGAACAGCGGCGTAGTGTACGTCTACGTAGTGTGAGTGAGTTTTAATTTTACGCCGCACTCAGCAATATTCCAGCTATATGGCGGCGGTCTGTAAGTAATCGAGTCTGGACCAGACACTCAACAGCATGAGCATCGATCTGCACAATTGGGAACCGATGACATGTCAACCAAGGCAGCGAGCCTGACCACCCGATCCCGTTAGTCGCCTCTTACGACAAGCATGGGCTACTGAAGATCAATTCTAACCCGGACCTTCACGGGTATCTACGTAGTGTACGTTTGTAGGCAACATGAGGCAACTGTAAAAGGGGCGGCACAATACATGGCCGGAGAACACTGGATATGAGCTGCATCTAGACGATTTCTAGTAATCTGACGAAGGTTTACAGGGACCAAGCCATCGTAGCCCTAAATCTGTGATAAACTACGGGTATTACGACAAACAGTTTCCCCCAAAGGTAAGTAGATTCAGAATCAAGAAGATGAATAGAAATAATGGTACGCAGCGATAAATCGACATTCTTTGAAGTGTCAAAATGACTAAAGTCACCCCTACGCACGTGTGGCGAGACTGCGTGCGGCACGTGAAAACCAAGGGATTGAGTATTGGTTATATGTTTTCTCCTGCGAGAATGTTGTCAACATTTATCATAAAATACAAACATTGACATTCCCGTTGCCTTACTTTTTCCGTGCGTATATGAAATTTACTGTCCTCAGAAAGTTTTCTTTTGAAAAACGTCAACCACTACCTATCATCAACGGATCAGTTTATTGATCTGACTACCCTTCTGAGGATTATTTTGTTTGAATAGTACGAAAATAGAATATACAAAGTATCTTATGACAAATATATATACACACATATTTATAGAATACATCACCTTGAATAGAATGTACACAATATTCAAAGTTTGGTTTCGCAGTACCCGGCCGGACCCTTAGTCTGAGTCACCGCTGTTCGCTGTGCCGGGTTGTGCCCCTTAGATGCGCAAGGATGGCATGCGTACCAGTTTTACCTCCCAGAACTGTTACGGCGCCATATGGTCTCTCCATATACGTCTCAGGTCACCGCCTAGATATAGGTGATACTGAGACCTAGCCAACCATTCACTATATCATTCAACAACGATTTTCATTTTGTGAAATAATAATTAAATTAAACCTCGTGCATTGTTCTGTTATTTGTTTTCACAACACACGTATGACGTCGATTTCGGGTTAGTTCCCGTGTTGAAGAAGACAGACGAGAATAGAACACCACCAGTTTCTTTGTCAGGTTACTTGAAGTCCTCACATTTGAATATTGATACCTGAGCATATCCCAGTGCACCCACAGACAGCAATACTGTCGCTTTATCATACAGTCCTGAATATAATCAATTCCAGACCAAACTGAAATTGTATCAACGACCCAGTGGCATCGGGATACAATAGCACGCCCGGCGCAGTCACAGAATCTGAACCTGAGTAGATCCGGGTTAGAGCTGGTCTAACGGAAACGGGTGTTCCTGCTCCCCGAAATTGCTTGGAGTGAGTGAGTTTAGTTTTACACCGCACTCAGCAATATTCCAGCCATATGGCGGCGGTCTGTAAATAATCGAGTCTGGACCAGACAATCCAGTGATCAACAGCATGAGCATCGATCTGCGCAGTTGGGAACCGATGACATGTGTCAACCAAATCAGCGAGCCTGACCACCCGATCCCGTTAGTCGCCTCTTTCGACAAGCATAGGTTACTGAATATCAATATTCTAAACCGGACCTTCACTGGTCAAATTGCTTAGATCAGTGCTACAGTACAACCAGAAATTATTGAGAATTTAAAGATTGTAAATTTTTATATATGTTTCACTCATTACTCACGTATTAAATGTGAATATTAGCAGAACATAACTCCAGATTCAAAGACAGGTGAACAGTTAGTATTTTGTCAAGTCACCATGGGCAGCAATGCAGGTTTCAATGCGGTGGGGCATACTACTGATCAAAGAAGTTAGAAAGTCGTGGTCCATGCTGTCCCAATATCGGACCACCTCTTCTTTCATTTCAGAAATATTTGTCAGATTTTTTTTATTGACACTTTCCTTCATAAGTCCCCAAACATTTTCTATTGGATTTAGGTCAGGGCTATAGCTTGGCCAATCTAATAAAGTCATATTTTGGGTCCGAAACCAGGCCTGTGAATGCTTTGAACGATGTTTTGGGTCGTTGTCCTGCTGGAAAATCCAAAATTTCCATAGAACACGTGAGCAGATGGAAGTAAATGTCCCTCGAGAATATCTGTGTACCGCTCACTGTTCATATTCCCTTCAAATACACAGGGGCGTTGCCCTTAGCACAGATATGCCACCCCACACGTTAAGTTTCGGACTGTACTTTGGGCGCTGATACAAAGGTTTTTCAGTTTGTTTGGTCCAGAATTTCAGTGTATTAGGAAACAGCCACACAGAACTTTCATCTGAGAAAATCACATTGTCCCAGTTAAAATTTCTATGCTGTAAGCACCAGTTCAACCTTCGCTCCTTTTGTTCAGGTTTCATGATCGGTGATGGAATTCCTCGACTTTTCTGCCAACCCATTGCATGCAGCTCTGTTCTAATTGTCTCCTTACAGACAGCCACAGTTCCTCTATCAATCATATCCAGCCTTAAGTTTTCTAAACTCCTTCGTTTGTTTTTAGAAACAAGAATACCAAGCCGCCTCCTGTCACCGACAGTCAATTTTCTGGGCCTACCTGCGCCTCCCTGGTGCTCAATGCCATATCCATTTGCAATATTTTTCAAAACACGATAAACAGTGGACAAAGGGATGCCAGTTCTACTTGAAATCACTTTAGTTGATCTGATGTCCTTGTTATAATACTCTAAAATCAACTTCCTCTTCTCTAAATCATCCATACTGAGGATCACTGAAAATGTCGTCTGCTAGCAAGTAAACGAAGGGGGATAACTCTTCACAAACTAATGAAAAAGGATTAACGGAGTTGTCTCTCTTGAATTAAACCAAGCACTTGATAGCTGGTCAAGGTTGTTTATACTAGAAATCCAATTAAACATATTCCTAAAATTCTCAGTAATTTCTGGTCATACTAAACTCTGTCAAAAAAGAAACGCAACCCCTGTCCTCAGATATGAAAAATTCGTTTGAATGAAGTTATTGCTTCCAAACTAAATGTTATTCGAATGTATTGAAATTATACACGTAATTAATGAAGATTACCATCCAAACAACTGCATTTGTACGCATAAGTGTATTTTATTGCTTATTCCGTCACAACGCATGAAATGACCCTCATGGTGACTTCGCACAAAAAAAACACATGCAAATCATGAAAATGGCAGTTAATGTAGGGGTGTATAAAAGCCCATGTGCTTTCGTATTATATTCATTCATTTGTCGCATGAAAAGCTGTGTTAAAATGCCACGATTGAGTGCTGCCGACCGAAATATCGCCATTGGTCGTGTTCGCCGGAGAAAGTTTTGGAACTGTTGCACGGCACCTAAATGTTCACAAACAACGATATCCCGACTTTGGAGCCGCTACAACAACTTCAATTTGACCAACGATCGCCCGAGAAGTGGAAGGCCAAGAATCACGACCCCTTCAAGATCGGTACATCCGGGTCCATCACCTGCGTAATCGGCATGCCCTACCAACCGTGACTGCCACACAAATACCAGGTTTGAGGAGAGTGTCAGCTCAAACGATTAGAACCGTCTGAAAGAAGCGGGTTTACGTGCCTGTAGACCAGTTGTTGGACCTGTACTACGCCCCCTACATCTCCGCCGACGACTCAGGTGGTGCAACAACGTAAGGATATGGACTTTACAAAAACTGGAGGCGCATCTGGTTTTCTGATGAATCCTGCTTTCTTTTGCAACATCACGACGGAAGAAAACGTGTGTATAGGAGACGTCATGAACGTTTTGCGCCCATCTGCGTCCGACAGGGGACAGATTTGGCGGAGAAAGCGTTATGGTTTGGGGATCCATCTCATACAACCAGAAATCAGACTTGGTGATCGTTGAAGGAACCTGACAGCCCAACGTTACATCAACCACGTATTACAGCCTCACCTTCTCTCCTGATTATTGACCAACAGACACAGATTTTCAACCAGACAACGCCCGGCCTCATACTGCACGTGCAACAATGAACTTTCTGCAGAATTCCAACGTCAATGTTCCTGCCATAGCCCTCTAAATCACCAGACCTCAACCCTATTGAACACCTGTGGATACTCTGGGTCGACGCGTACGTCAACGTCAGCCGCCGCCACAGACGCTGCAACAGCTCGGCGTTGCACTGCAGGAGGAGTGGAGAGCCATTCCCAGGAAAGAATCCGGCGTCTTATCCGTTCTTGTCCAAGGAGATGCCGTGCAGTGATTGCAGCTCGTGGTGCTCATACGAGATACTGAGAAAGACGCCCCCCTGGTGACAAACTGGTGTCTGTGAGATGACTTTTGAAATGACAATTTTAAACATGCCCATCTTGGTTATTATTCTGCCAAATTTCAGACTTCTGTCTTAAATAATAAAAATGCTGTGTCGTCTTAAAACTTCAGATCAAAATCTCTAAAATACAGGGGTTGCGTTTCTTTTTTGACAGAGTTTATAATTATGTCAATCGCTTGACTGTCTGGTACCGACTCGACTATTACGACTATTACTGGCCACAGCCTTATAGACGAGATATTGCTGATGGCGGTATTAAACACCTAACAAACACAGAAACCGGCCACCAGATACCCATTTATGTCGGTTCCTACATGCACGAAGCACTGTCCAGATATTCCACAAATTACAGGGTGCATTCAAGGATTAACCGCCCCACAAGGTACACACAAGTGAAGGATTGACCACATTTGAAAGTGTTTTGTTCTTGTTTATTTTTTCCGCGAACATATTTGAAAAATACATGAAAAGCGACTAAAAATAAACCTGGTACGCTTTTCCATGAAGTGGACAGGCACTTGACTTCAGCACAAATATCACAGCATTGGTTATTATATGGTTAGGGTTAAACGTGTGTCGGTATGACGCTGAATCGTTAGAGACCTATACACCTTGTTAGAAGCAGCAGAACGTTGCATTGTAAGGGAAATTCCAAACCCTCTGCCATATACTTTATGTAGACGGTGGATACTTTCCTTATCCTTCTTTCCTTCCTCCCTCCTCCATCTTATCCTTCTTGCCGTCCGCCGCGAGCTCGTCGTCCGACTCAAACCCATAGTTGACATTCTGCCTGTGCTCATCACCGTCAGCCATGTCACCAGGCAAGATGTCTTCTCTGTAACCGATGTCGTCTTCAGAGTCATACACGTAGGCAAAGTTTACTGCTTCAGGGCTGCTATCTGTGTCAGCAAGTGATGTTCCCTTCTCAGGAGAAGTTGGAGGATCGTTGTGTTCTAGACACCTCTCAACTTCAGCGTCTTCCACCTTGTCATCTCTCACTGCATCTTCTTCATCCGCGTCTTCTGTAAAAACTTCCATATTCGTATGTAAATGAGCCCCCTCCGCAGCTGAAGTGGAAACATCTTCTATCACGATTTCAGGCACCTTTTGCACAACATACTTCCTTCTGAAGGATCCAGTTATAACGATCTTGCTGTCACCTAATTCTTGCACTGTGGTCCCGTCTTTCGGTGGTGAGACTAGGTTTTCATCTGCATATCCCTGTGCATTCAAATTCTCATCATCATCACGACTTTGTTCTTCTTTAGCAGCACCTCCATTGTCTGAATCTTGTTCATCAGAAGCCCCACTTTCGATTTCCTCTATATGTGGATCTAAATACAACTCGGGATGGATTTGCTTGTAGTCTCTAATGAACGAATCCTGTTCTGCAAATTGCCAAGTGCTATGTCTTCTTCTCTGATGTAACGCGGACTGTGGCCTTGTGAAAGACATCCCAGGGTCACTTCTCTTCCTCAAAGTTTCGGTGACGGGTGCCATGTTCAACGTCACCTTTTTCCTTTTTATATACCTCGGACCACTTTCTTCATGTTGCCCCAACTCGTCTGTGTATTCTCCCTCGTCTATAGAAGCCAGATCACTTGAATCCCCACCCATCGAGTGTTTTCTGACGGGAACGAAATCAAAACTTGTCCGACGGTTGAAAATCAGATCTTGACTAGTTCGACGACCGGATGAATCTTGGCTTGGTCGACGACTTGAAGACAAATCGTGACTGGGACGACGGTTTCGGGTTAAACTATCCAGAAACTGCCCAGTACTGTGTCTCCTTGTCCTGCTATAAGCAATGGGGGGACTTCGGAACACATCTCTAATCGTCCTCCTCTTCTCAAATGTTCCTGGACCATGGTAAGTAACTGTACTGATCCTCCTCAGCGTCTCCTGCAATGACATGGAGTCTGACATGGAAAACTCACTCACACTTAGGTCTTCCTCTGCTCCTAGGAAGGTATCCGAGACTGTCTTCTGTCTGAAGAAAAGATCACTCTCAGCTCTTGAATCTCGTCTTCTCTGAAGATTCTCGGTGGACAGGTTTCCCTGCTTGGCCATCTCATCAATGTCCTTAGCGCTCACCATGGGAGTAGACACCGCCTTGGTGTCGTGAAAGTGTTCGTAGTCTATGACGTGTTCGTCAAACACATCCTGGTATGTGACGCCTAGAGGGAGAAATCTATGCCCCCACCTAATTTCCCAGGGGTGGTAGGACTTCCTTACTTGGAACGAAGCACTGAGGGTTGACGACACCGCTTCCAGGACAACTATCAGTTCGAAATTCTCCTGCATGGCATCATCTCTAGACAAATTATACAAGGGTGATTCTTCGTCAATGTTATGGACGATATACGTGGGCCACGGCAGGAACAACCGTTCATCACCTCCCTCTGATCTGAAGTCCATATTGAAATACTGTACAGGGATCTTATCACCAGTTTTAGAGAAGGTTTTCAGGATAAAATAACCACGCGCATGGGCTCCTATGATATGTGACTTGCGCATATCACCAACTCTTATTGCCAACCGAAGTTTAAGATCCTCTGCAAAAATACAAGCTACTTTGCTGAAAAGAATCGTGCCTGATCTTTTCTTGGATCGTCTCACTTTTGCAACTACGAGACCAGCCAATGCAAACTGTAATGCCGCTCCAAGTATCGACTGTGCTATGACACCTAAGTAAGCCCCTGGACAAGCTTCAGTCACGAAGCGATACCCATAACCAATCGTTGTCATTGTTTCAATCGAGAAAAGAAATGCCGATGCATATGATTGGATATTTTCAACACAGGGCAACCAATCATCGTCGGTTGTTTTGAATAAGTCTCCATGCACGTAGGCCAGCAGATAGTAGTAGGCGGCAAAGATAAGCCATGTCAGTGTGAAACCTCCAAAGAATAGCAACAGATTCCAGCGCCATTGGATGTCGATGAGGGTTGTACATATATCAGACACGTACTTTGTGCTGCGGTTGGCTACAGAGACGGACTGTATGTTAGTTGCCCCTCGCTCACTGATGAGACGGCTATAGATTGGTCGCAGCGTTATGCCGGAAGTGATGTCCACCATCTTGGTTCAGGATTTGTCAGCGTGGAACCTGGGAAACAAGACGACGTGGAGTGAAAGTCATTTCAAAAACATGTATGTAGGCTATAGGTTAATGATGTGTCATGCAAAACTTTACCTCTTATGAATTTTGCACGAAAGGCCGGTGCTACCAGTAGGGCAGGATACCCTTTTCGCAAACACCATTCATATCATTTTCACCAGTGTTCTACGTTTTACAGGGGCGGTGGGGTAGCTTAGTGGGTAAAGCGTTCGCTCGTCACGCCGAAGGCCCGGGTTCGATTCCCCACATGGGTCAAATGTGTGAAGCCCATTTCTGGTGTCCCCCGCCGTGATATTGCTGGAATATTGCTAAAAGCGGCGTAAAATCAAACTCACTCACTCACTCTACGTTTTACGCCTAATGGAATCTGTCTCAGATTAAATTCAAGACTGGTTATTTCCAGCATTGCCGGTCGCAGCTATATTGCGGGAGTCTGTAATACTAGACAGGGGCAAGCAAACCAGTGGTTGAAAGGATGAGCAACAAGCCGTACCGCCAGGGTAATATGTCTCACAAACATGCAAGTCTTACATAACAACCTCCCGATTCGCATTACATTCATCTGCAAATACAAACATCTGGTAATTGGTAAATTTCTTGTTATTCGTATTCGTATTCGTATTTGCTAGAACTTATAAGGTGGTGTTTTAGGTTGTTGTTGGGTATTTTTGTTTTTTGGGGGGTGGGGTGCTATTGTTCTTATTCATTTCTTAATGCAGACATTTTATGAAGCGCTAGAAGATGACTCTGACAACACTTTCTATTCATGATATTGCTGTAGTTGCTATGCAACACGTGTATGTTATCTACACATTATCTGTTACATAATACACCTTCAAATATATATATAACGATGGAAGTGTACACGAATAAATCACATTTATTCTTATGTGAATCAAAGTGAACTGTTTTAATTAGTTAATACCAATGTTTGAAAATATACACTCATTTTTCTTACAATGTAAGTATAACCCTCAAAATAAGTGCTGAAATGTTATGCCAATATGAGGTATTTGTTTGCCGAGCTAAACAGGCCAGAGTTACGGCCCTTTGATTATGACGTAATTGGTGCCACTTGATTTTAAACTGGTCTCCTGTCTAGTCCCAAATCAAAAGATAATAATACTGATATTAATCACGTGAAAAAGAGTTTGTGAAAATACGAAAGAAGCATAAGAACAGAAAATGTAAGCAGGAGGACGGATTGAGCGTATTTTCATTCATAACCTCGCCTCAATGAAAATACCAAATATGTATAACAATGTTGACGTCCGTATGACATCACTATCGGGAAGCGACTTTTTCAAAATGGCATGTTCACTGACACGAGTACGCCGGAGTTTTCGAAGGTAATTTTCGTTGTTTCAAGCAACGTATATGCATAAATGTGACATGTAAGTAGTCCGAAAATTCTGTCAGTCTGCTGGTTGTTATGTTCTTTTTGTTTTCATTGTGACCAAGGGAAATAGTCAGAAATTAAGAGAAGTACCGTCATCGTTGTGCGTGAGTTTGCGTCAGTTATGGCGTCATGCTTTCAAAAACTATAATATGTTGTGATGAATCTAGAAAATCATTGGAATACACCTTTTTTTATTTAACTATCGCTTGCTACGATACCTTTCCCATGCATGTTCTAAAACTAATGAGCAATTGTATGCAACAAGTAGGCGAACGGATACACAGTGTAAAATCTGAGATTGGCTTTGTATACGTTTCAAACAAGTATTCTTTCACAGCGCGGCATCTCATATCCTCGATATATTTCGTTAGATTTCACTGAAACACTTCGTATTGGTGACAGAGTCCATTTGTCAGTTTTTGTCAGTATGAGGAATTCAGGGATTCATGTAAGGAAGATGGTGTTGAATTATACAATTGATTTAATGGACGAAACATAACCGACATACATGTAACGTGATTTTATAAACACTATGTAATATGGCTGAAAATTCACTTTGACGTTAACGCCGTGTTATAGTACACGACACTTGTGGATGTTCTACGCTATATACTACTGCATATACAAACATACTCCTCAAGTCAAATCCACAGCTGGAATTCACAATCACGAAAACCAGTCGTATTGTATCAAATAGCATGGCTAAAACAGCGTTGACAATACTGACCCTCTTGAATAGTAATACATTTGCCATGTCAAACAAATAGAAAACAGTTGCATACCTTTCTCCGTTACATGTCTCTCACCTGCTTGACCTCACCGTAATTATAATTGTAGTACGTCTGCCAAAGGCCGATTCATTTGAAAACAAATTTTATATGTTTATTGTTGAACATGGAATGGTTAACTTTACACAAACATTTCATAAAAACGTGAAGAAATGTGTCCATTTGCTTAATTTTCTAATGTTTACAAAGGCAGGTTTCAACCTGACATCCAAGCCCCCCTGGATATTTAGTGATACGGTCACTTTGACACGTAAAGGTATGACGTCACGCTCGTCACCTTCGCCGTGGTGATAGGATATCTTAATTTTTATGGAAAAAAACCCAGTTAATGACACTAAAATACCATTATCAACGACTGCACTGATTATATTGCTCGCGCGTTAGGTTTTCCGGTCTCGTGATATGCAAATTAGCTGTGGCAGGGGTGTAATTGGTGTCGTTACTGTGTCAGAGGGTACGTCATACTATACTAGGTGCGTGTGCATGACAGCGACCTGTATATGAGAGAGTCTGGGCCAGGCGAGCCAGTGATCGATACTGTGAGCATTCGGAGATGGAGATCGACACGCAATGAACAGTCACCGTGTCTGAGCATCCGAACCGCCTAGTCGCCTATCAAGCTGCTTGGCACCTGTTTAAGTCGAGATCCCCTCTGGTGTAGGATATATAGAATACTACACGAGTTCCCATTAGGTACCAAGTTTACCAAACGAGTTAACCTTCTATCGACCAGGGCCCCGTTCCTCAAAGCGATCGTAGCGCTAAGGTGATCGTAACTCCCATACTTTAACATAGACTTACGACTGTCGTAGCGCTACGATCGCTTTGAGGAACGGGGCCCTGACCGAGAGAAAGCGAAAACTACATCTGTATCATCTACTAGCATACCATGTTGTTGATTGTTTACTGTTCAGTATTAAAAGCGCACCCGTAAAGATCTGGGATAGAACTGGTCATTAGCAATCCATGCTTGTCGTAAGAGGCGACTAACGAGATCGGGTGGTCAGGCTTGCTGACTTGGTTGACACATGTCATCGTATCCTAATTGCGTAGATCGATGCTCATGATGTTGATCACTGGATTTTCTGAACCGGACCGTCGCCATATAGCTGGAATATTGCTGAGTGCGGCGTTAAGCAACATCAATCAATCAATCAATTAAGAGTGCTGACTGTTCATATGTGTCCTGTCTGTATATATACAACTCACACTTTGCTAAGGATCACAAAAACTTTACTTAAACGTAAATGTATAATTTGAAATTGTATCCATTTAAAACTGGATAATACTAATATGGTTAACCCCTCTTTAGGCAAACAACCACATCATTCTTACTTTATGCTTACAATAAGCTTAGGTATTTAAACCAAATTTGACCCACATAATAGTTTTCTGTTGAATCCATGATTTGATCCTTAGCAAAGTGTGAATAGTATATTATAAAATAAAAACATTATGGACTTTTAGTCGGTCAGTACCTGCTTTATGGACCCAAGAACAGAAAGCAGGCACTCACCTCTGAAACGTCTATACTTGTCTCATGTCACCTCTGAAACGTCTATACTTGTCTCATGTCACCTCTGAAACGTCTATACCTGTCTCATGTCACCTCTGAAATGTCTATACTTGTCTCATATCACCTCTGAAACGTCTATACTTGTCTCATGTCACATCTGAAACGTCTATATACTTGTCTCATGTCACCTCTGAAACGTCTATACTTGTCTCATGTCACCTCTTCAGGTGTAATGAAAACTCACTGTAGTGACCGGCGACGCACAATGGCTGTGTACTGATTCGTCAGTGTGTATTACAGAACATTTATTGACAATGAAGGGAGGACCTAAACGTAATCATTGGCGAGAACGTCATAATATCTGACGTCATAGTCAGTAATAGCAGTGGTAGACGTAAATACATTGTTGTTTCAGTGGAATATTTATACATTGAACTACATACGGAAGGTTTGAAAAATAATACGTTTGAATTAAGATTACGTTTCAAATGTGTAATGAACATTTTATTCTTTTTCATTTCGTAAATGTTGATCATAGTTAAACAATATATAAAACCGAATTATAGTAAAATGCTCATTCCCGCATTCATCAATGTGTTTGCTTACATTTATACTTCGTGATTTGATCTTGAATTTGTTGTCTGTGTAGAGTGGCTCGGTCCTTCAGTCGCACACCAGTTGCTCCAATGTAATGCTTACCGCCTGTGAGACATTTTAAAAGACATATAACATCTTTACTGAAGCAGATCGTGTTGTTTTTGACAGTAAGTAGCTTGTTTGAAAAATCTAATGAGTAAGGGTTCCACATCGAGGTCTGCGATATTTGGTTTAACTGAGTAGGCCTATTTGTATTTTTTTAATATTTAGATTGACGAACGAGTTGTTTAGGAAGTTTAGGCTGCCTAGTTCTGCGGGTATATTTAAGGCTGCTTAGTGCTGCATATACCTGTGTACAGGTCGTGTGATAGATTGACTCAAGTAAGTACTTAAAGTCAACAACTCGCGTACCCGGCGAAGGGTAGTGCTCCACCAGTGCTGTTTGCAGACATGCATAGATGTGTTTGGAAGGAGCTAAGAAAGAATGATTTGTGACATGTTACCGTTACACTCGAACAGGGTCTGGATATAAGAGTCCATATTATATCCTACTCGTCATAGCAATGATTCCCTGTGCCGACTAACTGGCTCAAAAACAAAATGATCACGACATGACCTTTCTGAACTGTCACGTCGCAGCGGATGCGCTACCGGAAGTGGCATCAGAAAGTTAGCGCTGTCACAATAGAGAAGAGTCTGTCGTTTTGTAAATTGTCGCAAATTGCCTTCTGACTTGTATAACGTTTAACGCTACACATAACTGTTGGTCCGTGGCCTGTGGCGCCTTTTGCGATGGCTTGTTATATGTTGTCAATAAAAAAATGGAGTTAGTGAGTATATGTTGCTTTGAGCCGCATCAGAAAATTTGCTGCTATTCGGGCTAGAATTTAAAATAAAATACCCAATTCCAGAGATACGCTTGAGTGGTGATGAAAAGTAGAAAATGGTAGGCTACTTGTTGTTACCCAGCCTGACACATGTCATCGTATTTCAATTGCGTAGATCGATACTCATGCTGTTGATCACTGGATTGTCTGGTCCAGACTCGATTATTTACAGACCGCCGCCATATGGCTGGAATATTGCTGAGTGCGGCGTTAAACAACAAACCAACCAACCAACTTATCTCATACTTCTTTGATTGGCATTCAAGAAGTTGAGGAGATGAAGAATGAGGACATTTTTTATGGATATACAACTTTTTTTATTCTATATTGGCGACATTTCGACATAGATTCTAATGTTGCCGCCTATACAGAGTAAAGAAGTTGTATATCCATAAAAATATTTCCTCATTCTTTATCTAGTACTGTTATTGTCGTACTTTTATTGTCACTCGCACTGTATGTAGTTTCATGTACCATGTTTAACATCTGTTTTGACAGCAAGGCGCATGTACGCCCGTGGTAATGTCCCGTTATGTTATGACGGAGTACAGTTACGTAAGTCAAAATGTAACAAACAGAAACAGAATATGAGAATTTGAATTATAATGCTTGAAACTCCACAGCTTGAACTTTGGAGAAACACATTTACCCTTGTTTACACTGTGAAACAAGACCCTTTGAACTCTTTTGACACATACGCTGATATTTACTAAACTTGTCAGAGTATGAGACGTTTGATTTATTAGGCTAGACATAATTTATGAAAATAATGGTAGCTTTAACGTTTATGTGACACGTGACAGCAATTAAAACGTGACTATCATTTTATGCCAGGAAGGGGAAACATTTCAGTGGTGAATCATCTCCGCTGTAACAAACCTGGACATATGTGTTGTGTAAACAGTTGGTATTTGTTATGCGTTTTTCAAGTACTGCTATGTGTGATCCTAACACACTTCCATGTTGGACAATGGCGAATTTACGAGTCAATTACGTTGATGCAAAAAAGCACAAGTGACCTCGTTAGGGTTTAACAGTGGGACAGCACAATCTCACCTTATATTCTTGAAACTGTCATTTGTCACAGGGATCCATGTTCACCTCTACATCAGAACTGTTCCAACCAGCGAGGCAAAGGTTACAAATTTCAGTCCAAAGCAAGCCTCCTGTTTATGTCAGCGGGCGGACGATGGCGCGCCTCTTTACCTGGGACATTACTTGACAAGGGGGCTTCATAAATCACGTGTTTGCCTCTGGTTATTTTTACGACAAGCTACGAAGTATAGCGAGCGACAGCGCAAGATAAGACGACAAGATGTCTCCTCTGAATCTACCTTAGATGCGTCTTCCATTTAGTTTCACCAATTCGCATGCTTATTCTACGAACGATCCTGCACCTTTCATGTTTCAGACGATCTTCCTTGTTTTTGCTTCAAGCAGACGTGAGTTTTAAGGAGTCTGTACACCAAGAGTCAAATATGATTCGTCCAGGGTGAGGCTCGAACTGGGATGCTCGTGTCCTGCAAGATAGATTATTAACCAAGAAACAATTCACATAGGTAGACAGCGGTTGTTCCCACTCACGAAGCGACAGCGACAACTTTATCTTTGACATATGCAGCTATATAAACTCGCTTCATGCATACGGTCGATCTTTAACATCAATTGTATAACAGGTCTCAAAGGTATCGAACAAAAATCAACAAACCGATACGTGCTTTTCATTTCAACGAATGGCAGGATACAGTCGACATAGTTAATGTACAACGTGTATATAAAAAGAAAACTGGAAGAATGTCAAATTAAACATAAACGTGTCACGTGCGTTCAACGTATTGCCTCCGCGACACAGTACTTGAGATATGGTGTAATTGTTTGACTAGCAATAAGTCGATAGGGACACATAAAGCCTGTCTGTTGATGGACGTTTAAAGTCAAATGGAAAGCTATAAAGAATATGCAACAGTTGGGTAATTTGTATTCAATCTTGAATGAGGAAAGAAATGGGTTTCGATATCCATATAATCCACCAACACTGAGAGAGTGAGTATGGTTTTACGCTCCCTCGCAATATTCCAGCAAGATCACGGCGGGGGACACAAGAAATGGGCTTCGCACATTGTACCAATGAAGGGAATCGAACCCGGGGGTTCCGAGTGGCGAACGAATGCCTTCACCTCTAGGTAACCCAACCGCTACCTTAGTCTAGTATAGAGCAAGCAAACGGATGAGCGATAATACGAGCATCAATTTATGAATCGGGGAGCCGGGCTGGAATGTTGCTGTGGGTACTCCAATGCTGTGGCAAGAAGCTAGATTAGACTGACTGACTGAGTTTGGTTTTACGCCGCTTTTAGCAATATTCCAGCAACATCACGGCGGGGGACACCAGAAATGGGCTTCACAAATTGTACCCATGTGGGGATTCGAACCCGGGTCTTCGGCGTGTCGAGCCAACGCTTTAACCACTGGGCTACCCCACCGCCCCAGCTAGATTAGAAAAGTGGTAGTGTTTCCATTAAGAAACAACCGTGATGTAGCTGCAGTATTGACTGCGGCGTCAAACAACATATAAATGACCCACTTGTATCATGGGGGAGCAAGGATATGCATATGATGTCCCTGTGTCGTCAAACTATCACTCCGTGATACAGCTGAAACACTAGCCAAAGCGGCGTAAAACACAACTCACTCACACTGACATAACAGGAACTCAAATGGTGTCAAACGTTTGCACGGTACGATGGCTAAACTGACCTAGATTAGGCATTAGAACAATACTCTTAAAAGAAAGTAGGAGAAAGTGAATTTGGATAGGAAGTATAAGCGTTAACAAACTTTTTAAAGACAGACATCTTATAAACGCACCACCAATTCTCTTTATCACCCCCTAAACACAGCGCATGGGATGCACGTGCACAGCGCAGTAGCCCCACACACGTGCATAGGGTGTCATTCTTGATTTTGACGGTTTTTACGAAGGTCTTAAAATCACTGTAGACCATTAATTGTGACAATCATCTTGCATCACCACGTTGTTAGTGTTTGTTTCTAGCCGGTTTTGTTTTGTTTGAAAATGAAAATCGTACACATGCAAATTTCACGTCTTACACCAATCATCTTCCAAGAGGTACTACTGTACAAACAACTATGGTCATAGTGAGTGAGTGAGTGAGTTTAGTTTTACACCGCACTCAGCAATATTCCAGCTATATGGTGGCGGTCTGTAAATAATCGAGTCTGGACCAGACAATCCAGTGATCAACAGCATGAGCATCGATCTGCGCAATTGGGAACCGATGACATGTGTCAACCAAGTCAGCGAGCCTGACCACCCGATCCCGTTAGTCGCCTCTTACGACAAGATAGTCGCCTTTTTATGGCAAGCACATATGGTCATAAGGAAGTGCAAGTGGTGCTGCACTCTCAAAACATTCATTATTATCATATCAACATTGATTGACTCCGATATACATGTATCTCCCAATTTTTTCAATCGTAAATTAAAAATGAAGTTCCCCTACTTTTTAAGAGTATAATATAGCCTGTTTGACAGCTTGTGTAAGTGAGGGATGTTGCTAGTTACGTCATATTTGGAAACTACCGAGGGATCTATAAATAGGGTCAATCGAAACCGTTTTGCTGAAAGAGAAAGGTCTTACAGCGTCAACGTAGAGCTGATTGAAGACACATAGTCGCACATTGTCATCAATAAACGCTTCAAACATCCAATATAGCAAAATACACGGACGTTACACCGTCTATCAGGTTAACGCAACAGGTCGAGCAATAGTGATTCTATTATTACACTATATGGACAAAGCAGCCCAGCAGTGGTGGACGTAATTCACGACAAGCACGTGCTGCACGTGCCCAGTGGTAAACTATGCAGTGCGTGTCAGTATATTACCACGTGCTCAACATGACTTGAATAGACTGTCGTTTGACAGACGTTCAAACAGGACCTGGTGAGAAGAGCGGTTGTCAGCCGATTTGAAATGTCGAAGTTTAAAGTTACAGGTAAAGGTGAGGTGAGGTGAAATTGGGTTTAACGTCGTGCTTGAGAATATTTCGCTCATATGACGACGTGCATGCGTGTGTTAGTGTATGTGCGGTTGCTTGTACTAGCCCAGACTGAAGCTGGTTTTATAGTGCTAGCCCACAGAGATACCATGCCGCAGTGAAGCATGAATACCCCACTCAGACATTATACTGACTCCGAGCCGACCAGTCCTTGTTGTAGCCATTAAATGCAGGGACCAACAAGTACCATATTTTAACGTCTTTTGGTATGACGCTGTCGGGGATCGAACCCGCGACCTTCCGCTCTCCGGGCGGACGCTCTAACTAACCACTACACCACGGAGGCGGTATACAGGTAAAGGACGAAGCGGGGCAATGGCCCATCTTGTCCCACTAGAAATGTCATAGTTTAACCTTTATATATTGCCTTTGAACTGTTATGAAAATTATAAGATATGTTGAAATGGCCGAAAACGTGCCCTTTATCTGACAATCATATGGCGTGGTCAAATACACATGTATGACTGATACCTTTGGAACTATAAAAAACAGTATGAATGTTAAGACCCTGAGAAATAGTTAACCTTGTTAAAACGATTGTTTACATTTCCTAAGAAAGCCGGGGCGGTAGGGTAGTCAGGTCGGTCGTCACGAGGAAGACCAGGGGCTCCTTTCACGAAGCAACCTTTACGAAGGTTAACCTTAACTCCCATTATTTAACATTGCACTAAGGTTACCTTAGTGACTTACGATCACCTTAGTGCTTTGTGAAAGGAGGCCCAGGGTTCGATGGTTGTCCATCGTCGTGCTGTTGTGGTGATGTTGCTAAAAGCGGCGTAAAACCTCACTCACCCTGTGAAATACTTGATTACGTTCAAATAGTTGATATTTAAATATGAAACGTCAAAGTCGGAGATTAACCAGTCTCAACTATCTATCGAAACTGAATCCACGAAAGGCCAAAATAAGTGATAACACCAGGTTGTTGCAAAAGGATGAGGGTGTTCTGCTTTACTTGGGAGTCAAATCAAGTCTGACTTTCTGTGAAAAGTATATACACATCTGATAACTTTCATAGCCACCCCTAAAGAAAATTCACGTTTTCAAAACTTATGCCTATGTTCTACCTTGACATACCCTCTGGTGTAAAGACTGCATGGGGTACCTTTAACCCAAGTACCTGCAAGTCACTGCAGAGTTGCGTCCCTTACCTACAGGATCCGTTGTTCTAAATATCTGAACCCGTGAAGGTCCGGGTTAGAATATTCATCTTCAGTAACCCATGCTTGTCGTAAGAGGCGACTAACGGGATCGGGTGGTCAGGCTCGCTGACATGGTTGATGCATGGCATCTGTTCCCAATTGCGCAGATAGCTTCTCATGCTGTCGATCATTGGATTGTCTGGTCCAGACTCGATTATTTACAGACAGCCGCCATATGGCTGGAATATTGCTGAGTGCGGCGTAAAACTCAACTCACTCACTGAATATCAGATTGTTATTCTTGGTCTACCGGCACTTTGATGTGAGATATTATTGGACGTTACCACCAACTCACTCAACCATTGTCTCGGTTCTCGATTCTGACGCTGTCATGCAGTGCCAGTATAGCTAGTTACCTGTGTAATACAGTGCCAGTATAGCTAGTTACCTGTGTAATACAGTGCATGAATCAGCGAGTAAATTTCATCAGTGATAATCATCATTCATACTAGACTTAAAAACTGAAATAATAATCTAAATTTTAGTCTTCCGAAACAAAGCCGAAACAGTAGTACACAATGTGTTACGTACACATCCATTCGAAGTATATACGGTTTCCATGTTTAAGATAATTTCACTTTACACACCCTCAAAAAGGTTGTTCAGTACACAAAATATGATATTCTAGAATATTCTAGTCCTGAGGAATAACAAGTTTGAAGTCCCGTGTAGAAGCCGTGTTTGAGTTGTTCCCAAACATCCTGGTCGTAGGTGGCAACTTGAAGGGCGTGGTGGTCAGTTTCGGCGACCTGATTGACCTTCTCCACAGTATTGATAACTGGATTGCCTGGTCCAGACTCGACTTCTACAGGCTGCCATGTTATAGCGAGAACATTGCCGAGTGTGGCGTTAGACAACAACACAACTGTAAACTATTGGTATCTTATGTCCTATTTTGTGACAAACATATAAACTG